TTCTTTGATGCATACCAAATTGTATGCTCTCCGTAGATCTATTTTTCTATAGATCTTAGCTTGATTCAACTGATTAAGTAGTCCAGATATCAAAAGTAGCAGGTACCTATTTTTTATAGTGATTTTGTTGAGTCCTCGATAATCAACACACATCCGCAATGATCCATCTTTTTTCTTCACAAATAAAATTGGAGCTCTTGCTGGAAATTTGGAATGGCGTATGAAGTTCTTAGCCAAATTTTCTTCAATATACTCCTTGAGTTCAGCTAACTCATTTTGAGATAAATTGTAGATTGGTCCAAATGGCAATTGTGCTCCTTCTTAAAGGTCAATTGAGCAATCATAAGAACAATGTTCTGGAAGAGTATCTGCATTCTTTTTCTCAAATACATCTTGAAAATCTTGATATTGGCTTAGAATGCCACTTGAAGTCTTTCCACCAATAAAAACAAGTGTGGCATAAATAACACAAGGTAATCCTTCTTTTGCAGCATACAAAAAAGCACTTGCACCTACAAATATAGGTTTAATTATACTAATCTTATGACTTTTTACTTGATTAACTACACTCTTAGTTATACTTTCAAAAAAATCAAGACTACGAGAAGTCCAATCTATTTTAGGATTATATTTTTCTAGCCATGATAAACCTTAAATGACTGGATTAAAAGAAGATCTAATGATATTAAATATTATAAAGCTACTATGACCATTAGTTGCTATTTCTATAGGAAGGGTTTCATGAGTAACATCTCCTGAAGACAATGGACGACCATCTTTGACTTCTACATGAACAGGTTTAGTTTTCTTTACTAAAAATATGCTATGTCTTTTAGCAATTTTTTCATCTAAGAAACATGTTGAGGCTCCTGAATCTAGCAAGGCAGAGGCTTTGAGATGTTTAGGTCCTAGAATAATATTTATCGTAAAACATGGAGAGGGTTATGAGGAGAGGATAGGACCTTCACTAGGCGTTGTATAAGGTTCCAACCACACGGTCCCTATTGTAGCTGGACAAATTCAATTTTTGACATGCTATCTCGTTTGATCACCGTACTCCTCATTTTATGGTTGCGTCGCTTCTTTGCACAAGGTTGAACATTGTGCTTAGGTTCTCCACAATATAAGCACAATCCTTCTTGATGACGACGAGTCTTTTTTTGCTCAGTAAGAGGTTTGAAACGTATTGCATGAATTTGCATATCCTCTACGTCCAAATGTATGTGTTGAAGAGGTGTTGGTGTTGCCATTGAATTATAGTTACGTTGAGGTTCACTTGTACGGTTCTCAGATCGAAATTCAAAAAGGTGATTGTCAAACTTCACACCAAAGTCAATTACTTAACTCAATGTTAAAGGATCAGGTAAGTTGAGCATTAATTTTTTTATCTCATATTGTAATCCGTAGAGAAATTGGCTAATAAGTGCAACATCATCCCACTTGATATCAGTTGCGAGTTGTCAAAATTGTGAAGCATACAACGTTACTGATCGATTGCTTTGTCATAAAATACAGATTTTATTAGTTGCAACACGAATTGCATCATGTTCTCTATACATGGATTGAAACTCTACTAGAAAAGCCTCTAGATTATCCAATATTGAATCTCGTCGTTGAAGAAAAGATGAAAACCACAATAGTGTTGAACCTGAAAGAAGCGTACCAATGAATCCAACTTGCGATCTTGGAGTTGGATAGCTTTGGGGTTGATGTTCAATCACAAATTACACTTGATTGATAAATCCTCGAAATTTGAATCTAGTGCCATCAAATTACTCGAGTAGGGTAATTCTTGGTTCTCCAATATTAGAAGGACGTTCCACTATATGAGAAGGGACATGATTTAGTGCAGATATTGAAGCAGCTCCAATCATTTCTATATCTTCACTTCCTGCCAATCTTGTTGCTCCTTATGGAGGTAAATTGAGTTGATGCATCGCAAGCATTAATTCTTTCAATTGCTCTTGCATTTGTGCCATTGCACTCTTCATTTCAGTAAGTTCTGCCATGATAACACTTAGAAAAGAGAAGATGTCTAATATCACTCAAGACAAATAGAAGAGAGGACTTAAGAACAAAGAAAATACTAAGGACAATATCAATTTAGAAGAGGGTAATCCACAACTTCTAATATGCTTGTATCTTATCAAGAAAAAGGGATAATCCACTCTTAATCAAGATTAGACAAAGCTCTGATATTGTAGGTGTACTCTTCTCAATCTGTCAAGGACAAGACTATGATAAAGACAAATAAACAAGTGAGACTTCTCTCATAGAAAGATGACAAAATAGAAATAACTTGATATATATATTAAAAAAGAAATTGGAATGGCTATTGCCAAAAGACAAGAAAACTAGAGACCCTTGAAACTAAACTGGAAGGAAGAAAAGAATTGACAAGAGTGAAGAAGGCTTCACTCTTCTCTCTATATATACTATCTAACTAAGGGGTACAATGGCGACGTTCTATAGGACCTCCAATATGTGTTGACTTTGTAGGACACATGCTTTGACTTATAAGGCAAGTTTTTCTATGTGTGGGCCACATAGTTAGCTTGATCTTCAAGCTAACAACATGTGTGGCACATGGCCAACTTGTCGACTACATTTTTAATCCCAAAAAATCAATTAAAAACACCTATAAAGTCAAAGCAGCATCTATGAAGCTTTTAGGAAGCTTCCATATCAAATACTATAGAATTAACTTATTTTTACCTATTTTTACTTACTTCTACCTATTTATACATGTAATTATTGGCTTACATGCATATGTCCATGATAACAAAAGAAATTGACAAGGTTAGTAAAGCTAAAAGAATAGATAGGAATAACAAAGATATACAAATATTTTATAGTGTTGTTGATGGAAGAACCTTTTAATTCAAAACTTATTATTAGTAACAAGAAAATCAACATAATTGCCTATACTACAAAATTCGGTAGATAATCCATCCAAAAAACAACAAGAACCTTTGAACTTAATTACTACTAAATAGAAAGACATTCTTGACAACAATTCCAAATTCAATTATGGATGGCCAAGAATATGTTGGGTGTTAATACACTTGAAATTCACAAGATAGAATTTGACTCTTCTTTATTGTAGCATAATTATACATTCTATTTTATCATCTAACATACCAAAACATTTATTCTAATTATAATGCATCATTCATGACCTAGTTTTTGGATCTTAAGTCTATAAATGCCATGTAGATTTTCTTTTAATAAATACACTGAATACATATACCAGTTGTATTAAAATTAAAAATTAAAAACAAAACAAAACAAAATAAAATTTTATCTAACATCAGTTGCTTACTTAACTATTGTTTTATGATTCATCCAAGTTTATCCAAGTTTAGTTCTTTACATTGGTTGCCTAGATGACATCATCAACTGACTTGCACAAATGAGAAGTTTGCATGTTAACCTAATGCATAAACTTGATATATTTAGACAATACATATATATATAGACTTATGGTATGTTAGATGTGCGGTGAACAAACTATGATTCCGGCTCCGTTTTCATGCTCCGAAACCTAGTGTGACACACCATCAACACCGGTGGTCGTGGATCCATTCTCATGCTACTTTCTGAGATTCCTTCATTTCTTTGCTTTTTGGGTGGATCGATCAAAGGAGACAAGCCACGCGGTCGACATTCCAATCAGCGTCAAATGCTGTTTATTAACAGACATTCCGAACCATCCTGTCTTGTTTGCAGTGATCCATTATTATGTTGCTCATTCCTGGTTATGAGAATGCCTCAAAGTGTTTACTTGCTTCAATCAGTCAATCAATGAAGCAGTCCGTCCACCAATCAATCACAATCTAGTTTTCACTTGTGGGTTGAAACCATCGCTTGCCTTCTGTTCAACCTGGGCAGGTTCAGACCATCCATCTGATCGATTCACGCAGAGTCAAGCCCATATGCTGTTATCGATGCCCAGCATTGCCTGTTCCACGATCCCCCCCCCCCCCCCCCCCCCCCCGCATCGTTGTTCTTCAGTCATCACCGTTCTCTCAAATAGTAATACACAAAAGTCCATTCAAAACTTCACTTAGACCCATGAGTATCCACGGGTTTATAGTTTGGAGATGTGGGGGTTAGTTCACTGTGAAGTTTTGCGGTCGTGTGGAATGGAAATGGACGAAGTTCTTGTAGATGTTTCTCGAATGAAAATTCTAGAGACTGAATATGCCGAACATGTGATGCTTGAAACTAGAGTGGGCGGCTTTTTGATCGAAGATTCTAGTTCAAGGGAAATCGAGGAGTTTGTTTCGATCATGGCCTGTTTGATCTCGGTGCACTATGTTCCAATTCCCAGAACCTCATACTTAGGATGTCCTTTAGGTAATGAAGAGATGTACCGATTAGGAGAATGCACAAGAATCAGGAATCGTCTAGGAAGATCCGCCTGTGAAATCGTCACGGTCCGCTAAGAGCAACGCGCGGGTGTTGATTAGGATTGTGAAGTAGTAGTAAAAAAACACTTGCCTGATTTGCGAAGTCAGTGCAGGGCTTGTGCGAAAGAAGGAAGGAGTGAGACCGTCGATTAGAAGCCGCTGTGTTTGCGGTTTAAAGCATACGCTTCCACATCACCCAGCATTGAAATCATGAATGGAAAAAAGGCTAAATTTGCACGTTAACTGTGGAGCTTCTCCAATCGCCTGTTCTTCGCGTACACAAACCCTGGTACAATCACCACCTCTCTCCACGCCAGAGCGGTTATCCTGGTAACCAGATTACCCTCAAATTAGTGGAGTAAAAAGGACTAAAACTTGGTGTAGCGAGGCGATGATGATTGGTCAGACGACGGAGACAGGCGCTGGAGGTGCGGAACAAGTCTCTCAACGTGCGGATGTGCCCAAGATTTGTGGCGAACTTCAGGAAGACCGGGAGAGGAAGAATGCCAATTAGCATGTCAATCGCCCGAAATTTACAACTCGAGCGGCGCTGACATTATCCTACATTTTTCATTGTGTGGGACCTATCAACAAGGGGTCGTCACAACTGTGACTGCCCCCACCACCATCACTACTCCACTATGAATGCGCATGTGCGGCAGCTAGTGACGACCACACTGCCAATGCTCACTGACTGCGCGCTTGAGAGTGATGCATCCAAGTCTCCTGCACTAGTCTGCCAGCGTTCCATCGGCACCTAACTCGGGGAATCGTATCCACTACCAATCGAACAACGACGTTGGTTGCATCATGACAATCGAGCAGCGGACGATGGTGCAAGCACACGTAACTTTTAAGCTTCTCTTGGTGCTAGCTGGGTGCGTTTTGCAAGTGCAAGCTGCTTACGGTCCCAGTGGCTGGGCTACAGCGACGGCGACGTTCTACGGGGGTGCGGATGCGGGAGGAACTATGGGTACGTTCTAGTGGATTTGTTCAGTACTGTCCTTTTGGTTTTTGCGCACAAATTCGGTCCGGTAAAATCAGGGCCAGCTCCTGATAGTTCACTTCCTGTTCAGTGTGGGCATCTTCCGTCTGCGAAAACATGGTGTTGAGTTGTTTGCCACGCGTTAAAGACCATTGTGGTGTAGAATGTGGGTGGTAATGAAAATGAGTACCCCAACCTTGATATGATATCATAACCTTTCAACGATTCTGACTGGCAAATGTCTCTCACATAGAGTGGAGAGTTAGATGATATTGGATGTGAATTCGCTCTGATTATTTTGCCTTCTTACTCCCAACACACGGTCTGTAACATTCTTGTATAGCGCGAGGATTATCAGTGAGTTTTACACTTTGGTCGCAATTTTCAGGAGGTGCATGCGGGTATGGTAATTTGTACAGCACTGGTTACGGAGCTTCTACAACCGCCCTGAGTGCGCCACTTTTCAACGGTGGTTCTGCTTGTGGAGCGTGTTACCAACTCCAATGCGCTAGAAGCAACCATTGTTACGCAGGGAGATCGATTACAGTCACGGCAACTAACTTTTGTCCTACCGGGTCGGAAGGAGGGTGGTGCAATCCTCCCAGGAAGCATTTCGACCTGTCCATGCCGATGTTCACCACTCTTGCCAGGCAGGTTGCAGGAGTCGTTCCCGTAGACTACAGAAGGTATGTATAATCCATCGTCAACTCTCATTTCGAGTTCAGAGCTTTACTTGTTTTCACATGCGAAAAATGCACGTTAGTAAAACTCTTCGTCGTTGTGGAATGGATTTTGTATCACATGAAATTCTCTTCAGCAATATAGTGCGATGGTTGTCTCCTGCAGGGTAGCCTGCAACAAGAAGGGAGGTCAGAGGTTCCTTATGACCGGAAACCCCTACTTCATAATGGTTCTAGTCTACAACGTCGCTGGCGCTGGTGATGTCCAAAGGTTTTTCGTCAAGGGCTCCATGACGGGGTGGTACGAGTTGAGAAGAAACTGGGGACAGATCTGGACGTGCACTGCGGACAGCAGACTGAAAGGACAAGCCCTCTCTTTCCGCACACAAACCAGCGATGGTCGGCAAGTGGTTTCTATCGACGCAGCTCCTGCAAACTGGAACTTCGGTCAGACTTTCAGCAGTGGTGTTAATTAGTGACTTTCACTCTCCATTCCCCACAGCAGTGGTTGTAGTTTTTGCCGTGATCTCTGTTTTGTATGTTTCGCAAGAGCATGTGTTGTGCTTCGAGCAATGGCTTGGAATTCGCACATCAGTTCCACTACTTCAGCCACTCTTGTACAACGCCTACTTGAATGGCGAAGCTTTAGCATCAGGTATGACGTAGTTGCCATAAGTGACGAGTCACAACTATAGGAAGAGATATGTTACACCCGCTCCGTGCGCAGATCCTCCCGCGCGGAGTGCGAGTTCAAGATTGAAGAGGTGTATGCAGTGCTTGAAGTATGGGTCACCCGCTCTTATCTTCTATATTGTATCGTCCCTCCAAAGTGGCTTCATCCCTGCGGCCAGAAAGTGAAGTTTTTTTCGGTGTTCTTTGTTGAATCGGATCCTCCTGTATATTGCGGGAGCACTACTGCAATGTAAAACACTACATTTGTACATCGTGATGTGAATCCATTACTCTAATAAATGGATCTATTGCAATATCTCATGACTGTGTACGCTGTTTTTGCTTGTCGTGTCTATGTTGCAAATTGGATACTCTAGACTTTGCAGCCTATCCTATTGAGCTGGATGTCAGTGCACCTGATAATCCGATGAGGGAGAATAAAAACTAGCCCATCCAACTGATCATGCTACGCTGCAAAGCATGTTGTGTTTGTCGTCACTTGCATCAGGCAATATAACCATAGTCACGTGCATTTTTGTGCTTTTAGTGTGGCATTGCTTGCAGTGTAATGTACTTCAGTTTCACGGCTGTGAAGACCAATTTCTTTGTCGAACAATTTTGTGTTACAGGCACTCCACGTTTCCAAGATTTGTTTACGAATATACCAGAAATTCCCTTCGAAGCGAATGCTCGAGTAAATACCAAGTTTGGACCCAGTTAAGCCCCTAAATGTCTTTTCACGACGCTGAAGTATGTAGTTCCACTATATCGAGGGATAATAGTTTGGGGTTAGACTACATCCAGAAACTAAAGCGTGTTGAAAGTGACAAATTTCCCTTTGACCCTGGTTAGATTGATTGACTTGGCTCTGAATCTCAGCGGAGGAAATGTAAATTCCACGGGGATCATACTCACCTTTAGCAAAACATTTTATTAGATGAGCTGCTAGTCTGAAGCTCCTACAATCGGGTTAGTTCTCTTCCTTTCAAGCAATCTGGTTGCTGTTTTTATTCTATCACGAGGATTAGTGCTTCGTTTCCCGTGACGGATTAAGGACGGTGCTTCAAGCTGCTAAAATCCATGTTCTTATCAGCTTCAGGTCAGTGATAGCTTTTGGATAGCTTTTGGAACTCACATGCCAACAACAACCATTTTTCCATCATCTTTCAATTGCAGAGAGAAATGTTCTTAAGCCCACAAATAGCTTATTGGGTAGCTTAACTTGGAAATCTGTTGCACCAAATTTAAGGATTCTAAATCTTATATATTGGTTATCATTTGCACGTGATCAAAACATTTCTTGTCCACGAGAATTTGTAAAACACAAGCAAAATCAAGGTAGAGGCTGTGCTCTCCACAGTCCTGACGCAGTTGGGTTCTCTTTGCATAACATGAAAGTGTTGAACTTATCGACGTATGAGTACAGACTAACTGTATCAATCAGGAGTCCGACAGGCTGGTTTAGAGCTTGCTCACAAGCTTTTCCTGAACAGGAGCAACATAAAACAGATCCGGTCTGACATTTTGTGAACATTTTTTGGGAATCATACGGTGCTCAAAGGAAGTTTCTACCTCTCAAAAACTATTTGAAAGTTTCATATGTTTCCTTTCTAAAACTTTCTGACTGTTTTTTTAATACCACGTGCTTTCATGAAGATCTCCTAACTTTATGCTGCTGTGTATGTGATTTTCCTAATGCATTGACTGGATTTTTTAACAACCACCGATTGAATAACTCACATCAAAATAAAAATCATCACAAACATCATGATTGACGAAGATTTGATATACACATGTACAAATATAGAAATTCGTACAACATTCAAAATACATCAACTGTTTTTTTGTTTGATTTTCATAAATTCTAAATTCTATAAATGATTTACGAAATCGACATCTATTGAAAACTGGTAAAACAAGAAAAAATTAAAATTAAATTAAATTAAATTAGTCATGTATCTTTACAATATTAAGATTTTGAAATTTAGTGGTTCAAATACCTTAAACACATCACTGTAGATTCATTCACTATCGTAATTCTGTAAAGATATACATAATACATGGGTTTTACTTGAAACAGCTTGCATGGACCTTCAAGTATAAAAATAAAAGCAGTTGTGAAAGATTTCTGGAACATTCAAAACGTTTTTCTTTTTTCTTTTCTTTTGTTTCATTTAAAGTTCATGTAAATAATGAAATAAATATACTATAAATTTTCAAAGGTATGAGAATTCTTTTAAGAAAAGTATGTGATAATATTGCTGTTTCATAGAAACCTGTGATATCTTTTATGGCAACAGTGAAGTTTTTGAAATTTACATACGTTACAATGAAGTTGATATCATTTAATATCTATTTGTGTGTACACAAATAACGAACAAAGCAAACAAAACAATAAGCTGATTACTAACTTATTTAATATCACAGCATCCTGTAACACACACATAAAAACTTACACCATGACAAAAATACATATATGACAACGTCATAAACTGTTATCATAAAACTTTGAATCAGATTTACTTATCTTTCTTTACACCCACTTGCGAATCAGGCCATAATGCCAAAGCAAGCCTCCATCACAGATAGTGTAATCCGTTGATGTTGGCGAAAGCAGGAAATCGAAGAACTTCAAGCTCAAGTAAGATCAGCTAAGTCAAGCATTTTGTGAATTAGCTTACCCATCTGGTACAACTACTTGCGAATGCCCATCAAACTAGACGTTCACACTCTACTCTCTTCTTGAGCAGACTCTCTGCGGTTAATATTTCAAGGACTCTCAGAACCCAACATTCATTCCATTCGTCTGAAAACTGGAAGTTCCCAGGTGAAACTCATACACGAATCTACAATGCTCTGGAGTATACCATCGCCCACGTATCAATTTTTTCACAAATATGGTGTTTACGCTTCAAGAGAATAGAACTAACATACCCAAGACCCTGGTTGGGCTAGAATATAGAAGAAGGTTAACCAACAAAGCTGAGTTCAGCTGTGATAATAGCTAGCAGTTTATCTGTTTTGTTCAGCCCCCCAAGAGGAAGACTGGAAAGAATAATTCTGAACATTGCACATCCATCGGCTGAAAGAAAATGCACACGACTCTCAAGGCACAAACCAAAAGTTTGTAGTGGAATTATCCACCTAATTTGTGATAATAAGGTCTCCTTTCGTCGAAATAAAACAAAATAGGTCATGTTATGACTGATAAGGATTATGAAACAAGCTACAAAAACTACTGCTGACCCTACATGGAATATTCTAATTCAATGTTGTCAAAGGATGCGCATCGATTGTTTACAACACTAATGTTGGGGGTCTAACCTCTCCTCCATGTATGAGTCTCTGATGTTTTCTCCAGCTGCTTCGTTTATTCTGTCGCTCATCACCTTCAAAATGGGCTTCTTGTAGAGAGCCTCCTCCTTGTTGTTCCTCAGATACTCATTAGCTTCCTCTGCTATTTCTAGAGCGAGTCCAAACTTATTGTTGGCCCGAGAGAGAAGATTTTCAGTGTCCACAAGCAAGTTCAAGTTTAAGTTGTCCTTCAACACACGCTCATTTGTCTGCAAGTAGGGCCAAGTGGTACCTTCATCCCTTTCATGTTCCTCCAACATGGGATCTTTTCTTCCCTGATAAAATGGCACAAAGGGTCACGCATTGCGTCTGATTAGTAAGCTTGACATAAGTAAGGAAACTGTTCTTGAGAAGAACTAAACGATCACTTCTCAACTCCAGCCAAGGTCACTTTGACGCAGCTTCCAGGAAGTCGTAGCTTTAAACAATCTAAGCAAAAGGTGATCGATAACAATGAAAGCACTTCGGTATCCCAGAACTTACTAAACATCAACATTATCATTTGCAACACAATAAATTCTACTCCTCGCATAGATAGTCGTCGTAAGCAGGTGAAAGGAGCTAGATGTATGATGGTAACATAACACACACTGAGTGAGATAAGTAGCTTCAGAAGAAAAAAGACAAAAAACAAAAAAAACAAAAAAAAACAAAAAAAACAAAAAAAACAAAAAAAAACAAAAAAAAACAAAAAAAAAAAAAAAAACAAAAACAAAAACAAAAACAAAAACAAAAACAAAACAAACAAACAAACAAAAAGGTCAAAGAACAATTCATCAATGCAACTGTGTCCCGCGAACGCCAGAAAGGAGGAATTTAGGAGGTAAGGAAGACAAGACTATATAGCGATTGAAGGGCACGAAAGTTTGGAAGCAGAAAAATTAACCATGGCATTAGTGAAAGTCGTTAGCAGAAGATAAACTACTCGCCAGTAAATGGTAATCATCATCATGGGAAGTTTAAGTCCATAGAATGGACACTAACCAAAATTTTGACACTGCATCAGCAGAGAAAAACACTCGAATGCGAACGCGAATGCGAATAGCGGATCAGAGGATCAGTTAAGAGAGCACGTTTCTATGAGATGGTTGCAGCTGACGGCGACGACATAGAATCTACTGCCTCGATCTAATCCACTATCACTGCATAAAACTCGCTCTGCAGGGACAAGCCAAACTAAACATAAACATGACACAGTTCTGGTGGCAACACCCGAAGACGAAACCTAACGTGAACCAATTCTCACACAACGACAATGGAAGCAAGAATTTCTTCTGGGTACTTCATCAAAAACTCCTACAAAGCTGAAGATGCTGCCGAAATAAGGGTCTCAAACAAAGAGAGAATTCACCCACCCCACGTCGACCTCTCCTTTTACTGCCAATGGTGTCTTCAGCTTTACATGATATCCGCGGCAGAGCCTTGACCTGCTTCCACAAAACCCCAACCATAGCACCATTCCGCGAAAACGGTCAATTCCAGACCCAGCCAAGCACTGAAAATGTAGAGCAACTCAGCACGCAGCCTCCACATACGCAAGACCCTCAGCTCATTCCCAGCAAATACTCACACAAACCCAACTCACAAAATCCTCTAGAAAACCCTCCATGGTTAAATTTCTTATCAAAAAAACAGGCAACACGTACCTCCCTGAGTTCCAAATTTACAACGAGGGGATCACATTCGAAGGAAATGGGTAATATGAACATGAAATTTACCTGGTGTTGATTAAAGTGCGAGGAGCAGGAGAAGGAATTCCCCGCTAGCGCATCTGATGAGCACGAAGAGGAAGAGAAGAACGCTTGCGACGAAGTCGACGAGATGAGAGACGACGACGACAACGCCATTGTCGAATTCCGCGAGCACAATCCGCAACCCACCATTCCCCACACAAAACCCCTTCAAAGCCCCACTTCTAATGCTACGTAGCAAACTGGATAGAACGAGACAGCCCCTCCTCGCACTTATTCATCCATCCATTCTTCATCTCCTTTCATCTCCTTTCATCAACATTCGTTTGAAGATGGTATTCATCTTCTTTCTTTGTACTTTCATCCAATTTCGCCTGTAATTGCGTGTATTGAACTCACATCAATTTTTTCACGTTTTTCGTGGGAATTGGACTTGATGGGTGTGAAATAGTAAAATAGTGTAATAGTGTAATAGTATAAAAAATAAAATTGGCAATAGTGTAATAGTATGATAGTGAATAGTAATCCATGGATATTTTTTTTTATTTTGTAATTTTTTTTTTTAGAAAAATGTAACTCGTTGGGTAGAATGTAATAGTTTTATGAACATTTGGCTTTTCGTGGTAAAAATAAATTTCCTTTCTTTGTTGAATATGTTGGGTAGAATTTCTGGTTGGATTATTCATAGATTAAAGAAAAAACATTGATAAAAATAAACAAATATGTGAAAAAAGAATTATATCTTGTATTTGTAAAATATTTGTTATGCAAAATTTGTGCATTTTTTAGAGATATTTTTAGAATAAAATGTTATGATATATTATTGAGGATTCGAATAATGTCTCTTTATTATTTGAAGTTTTTAGTACAAATAAAAACACGAAGTGACTTTATTTTTACTTAAATAAAAATATTTAAATTATTTTGACATAACACAAACTGCAGTATTATTATCAAGTGCTTAATCCAGATCATGTGTAAACTTTCTAATAGCTTAGAATTTCGAAATGAGAATTTTAAAGTACATACAATTTAAAAAACTTGCAAAACATTTGAAATGCATGCTTTTCTTACTTCAAAAATTCGTGTCTAATATGGTTTTTTAAACGTAATTTTTAATTTGGCATCGTTGATGTGTATACGTATTATACAATTTCAATATTCAAGGATCATGTGTGCTATTTCAAATTTTCGTTTTTTTGAAGCAATGTCTTTAGAAATTTGACACATTTTTCAGTATCTGGTCGCATAATTACTACACTTTTGTAATTAACAAATGATGAGATATTCATTTCCGATCGTATGAATACACATCATTCCATAAACTTTGTTTATATTTGTAACAAAATCATGTAACATAATCGTGTGAGAAAAATATTCTGTGAATGAAGATACCACTAAATTTTGTTACTAGCCATCAACAAACATTACAATAAGCGTTACTCCTGTGTCACTTTACACAATCTAGATTTCGAACAAATTAAAGGGGGTTGAATAAGTGAAAATAGAAACAATTCAACATAACCTTTTATCGTTTTCAAAATTTTCGTAACTGATATAAAAATCAACAATAATTTTTCTAAGTGATTAAATCACAAGACAAAACACATTGTGACTTTCAGGAAGACTTTCAAAAATGTATGATGCATGCTCTTTTTAGAAAGTCTTGTATACTTGGAGTATCTGAAATACCAATACAAGACATGCAAGGGATTCGCAGCGTGATATAAAACCAATATATTACAATACATTATCAGGCTGGCTCCATTTCTAAAGACACGTGAAAAAAATCTCTAAATCATACAGATGAAGTTGAGGGAAAACCCACCGTTCGTTCGTCATATACGAAATGCCCCTGGTTGAATTTATTTCACTACAATGGGTGATTTACTACGATATTATACATCACAACCGGAGGAGGTTATCCAGATGTGAACTGTGTAGTTAGTAATTGAAAATATGCCAGAAATTAGTGTCTCCTCTTGGAGTGTTATAGCACTTCAAGCAGTTGTGAAAGCACGCACCACTTCCACTATGGGGGCCCGGCACATAGGACATGTGCCAGAGTTATAAATTATCTCGTTTGCACACTGCAGGCAAGTGCACATGTGTCCACACCTGCAGAGATAACTTTACCAATGAGCCACTACACGAGTTCAAAAATACCAAGATCACGTGCAGTGTTCCTATAAAAGATGGCGCGAGGTATCAAGTAACTCTACACCAGCTGTACAGCACTTGTGTATGCAGCTTCATGCAGGAGTTCCTATATTAACTTAAGCAGCGCTTCACCATCCCAATCAAGAGCATGATACCTCCTCCAACTTGTATCTAGATCCTTTGAGGAGAAACGATAATGTTGTAGGAATAAAAATGTACTCTCTCAACCTTTAAAGGGCTGGGTTTACAAAGCCACCAAGAAACAAGAGCACTCATAAAGACAATGTCACACCTGTATAGGAGAGAGTTGATTTGTTTGTCGCAGCAGATACAGCAAATCCCTTTTTCGACTGTTTTCCATTTCGAACCGTCCAATGCCTCCTCTGGGACTGCTGCATGTGAACGACCAGATAATTTAACCCAATTTACAGCATTGGTTACAATTTTCACCAAAACAATACGACAAAACAAGAGGTTGCACCTCCAGAAGCATAAGGTGACTTGGTACAAGATGAGAATTCACAGGAGAGGGTAATTTGAACAAATCCAACAAACAACTTTAGAGCCCTATGATTCAGTTGTTCATTTTATAACAAGAGGTAGATGCAGCAGTGGAAAATCCTATCAGAGAACTGCAAAAAGATAAAGGTGCATAAGTGGCAGAGTTTGTGTACCTGTACCAGCACCAGCATACATTCGCTGGAGGGCCCCTGCAACCTCCTGCCTCACAGAACGTTGGAGCTCATATTGCATGTCCATACAAGCCTCCAGTGTCCGCCGCATTTCAGTGATTCCTTGGGCCAGCCGTGCCACGTCTTCCTTCAGTCCATTATGACTAGTTTCCCATTCCTTCAGTACAAACCAAAACTATGGTGAGTTCACAACGACAGAGTATTACTTGCATTTATTTTGCTACATATCTAACAGTCAACTACAGCAAGATGTGAAAACTTCGTCCATATATACATATAATGAAAGTTCCCCGTTGTAGACCTACCATGACTCTGGGGCGTTGTTGGACGCGCCGTGGCCAAGGTAAATTCTGCGATACAGGTTGAGGTGGCGGTGGAGGTGGAGGTGGAGGTGGAGGGGGAGATGGAGCTCCCATGAGTAAACTTGCTATAGTCCTTGGCCTGAATGGTAAGCGCCGTGGTCCAGGTGTATTTTGGTAGACGGGCTGTGGAGGTGGGGGAGGGGGAGGAGGAATTGGTATGGAAGTTCGGGTGACTGTGGCTTGAGAATCAAGAGGCCTGGCATGTGGATTGTGGATCTGCCTGTGCACAAACGACCTAATCAATTGATCCAATCTATCCCGGAAATCACTCGCCAGTACAGTTGTCACGCTCCTCCTGAACGAACGCATCCACAACATTAACTCATGTACTGCTGCATTAAATAATTCTACAACATGACTTCTTGACCATATAGATTTTAAATTACAGTTCAATCTATACATCGTCATTCCCTGCATAGGAACAAGACGGTAACCACATTTTCGTAAAGCTAGAAAAATGAAAGCAACTTAGGTTTAGTATATAAACCGATACGAAAATTTTGAATATTTATGTTCTCCTAGCTTGATAATGAGCTCAATCGAAAGAAAGCAAGATCCAACCAGTGTTTAAGTAGTATTTCTGTAAGAGATACGATAGATCAAAGGCACTAACCGCCCAATAAGATCACGGAGCTCCATGTCATGCACGGTTGTATCTAAATCGATATTTTGATTAGGAGTAACAGCTGGCCGACTCCAAGTCATCTGTACTGGTCTTTCTGCCATCTGCGTGATTTCATCTTGGTGCATACGCTCGTGAGCAGGGCGTGCCCTATGAGCTGTTTCATCTTGGCGACTTCGTTCCTGAACAGGCTGTGAGCGAGGATCAGGCTCAACAGATCTTGCGTTCGCTTGACCGCGAACTATAGTCTCTAATCGAGACCGAAATGCCTCTCTGTATAATTCACAATTCAAGAGCTTTATGAGTACAGAAATTATTCTTCCAGTAACAGCAAACAGCGAGATATCAGAGCAAAAATTGAAATTAACATCGCACATATTAATACAAAGCGGAATTTGCGACAAAAGAAAAGGAATATGAAATTGAACTGTCCTATCACCGTTTTAATTCCTAAACTAGGATCGTGATTTCTCATTGCAATTTAATGATTCAAGGGAGTATCAAAGCACGGTTTCTGCAGTTCAAAGTATGGAAGAGCACCTCAATCTACTGACGGCCTGCTGTTGCTGAAGTTGACCGATCTCCGTGGAAGCCGACGAGGGCATTCTTGGATCATCCTCAGCTGAACCACCACGCCTGATTCTTCCCCGAAGCAAATACTAGATGAAGGCAAATCAACAAACGCGTCAATGTTGTCATTACAGAATCCTTGATAAAGCAATAGAAACATTAACGATACCTCCAACATGCAAATTCACAGGCGAAGCATGTGAAGATCATGTTAACCATTCAACATCGGAAGAAAACAAGATATTCAGAGGTTTGGCATCATTGTACATTTCAGACATTGTACCTGTAGACGGTTTCGTTGAGAGAAATCAGAGACAGATCGTAACTCCGTGAGCCTCTCAAGCTCCCTCTGTCGTTCCCTTTCGATCCGCATCAACACCTCAACAACCATTTCTGATGCTTCCTGCCGTTGCCTGCCAAACTCTGTATCACCAATCTCCCTCACTTCATTCCTTTCTGCGGTCATATCTCCAGTTACTCTACCAACATCAGGTCCTTGCGGATACGTGCTGCGCTGGCTACTGGTTTCCATCCAAGTCCTTACCAAACGTCTCACTCTTTCTCTCTCATTTTGACCAAGCCATGGATTCAAACCATCTTGGCTTCCACGAACATCAGCTTCAATGTTGCTCACTACACTCTGCCGAGCCCAATGTTGCACTATTTGCCTCACCCGTTCTCTGTCCATCTCACCAAGCTCTGCAGCTAGAGAGCTAGCCGTAGCCCTATTCCCGACTTGCTGCTCATCCCCAACCCAAACTCTTTGGGAATCTACCCTAGTCCTCATAAGCTCATCTGTTTGAATTGCAGAATTTCCAGACCTGGTCCTCTCTAATGAATAATCTGCATCTCCCCCTGTCGAACCTGTAGGAGTTTGGGAAGGTACTTCGAGCTCATGTTGGGGGGTAGCTTCAGTTGGGTTCCTGTCCATTCCAACGTTTCGTTCTCCTACAATTCCTCTCCACATTTGAACTAGAGAAGATGCCCTGCGATGGCCCCTCTCAAGTATACTTTCTGGACGAGATGTGGGGGCTTCTTGCAGGAAGGAAGCATCAAGCATAGATACAGTATGTTGTCCAGCAAGTGCAAGTAACTCAGCTTCCCGAGCTTGGCGCTCCAGGGTAGTGATCATTTCCTCCGCCCGTGTGTCCCAAATGTGCAATATTCGAGACTGCCGTCTTCCGGGTGACTCACCAGAAGATGGATTCTGAACAATTCCTTCATCAAGCATACGTTCCTGACTATGCACTGTCCTTTCTCTTTCAGCCTCGTCTTCAACATCAAGCTCCTCCTGAAGCCGCTCTGCAGACAAAGTTTGAAAAGAAGTTGAAGCATAGCTAGATTCACCAGAGACATCCTCAACGTCCTGTAGATCTCCAAAGTGCTCTTCGTCGCATTCTTCTTGCCGACTGCTATCTCCTTGCGATGAAGTATAGGAAGACGGCCCGTTTTCAGTTCGGGAAATATCGTGAGGGGAGCTGCAGGAAGCAAGTGCCATGCAAGTATTCAGGTGGTCTTGCACAAGCTCCTCTAGGCCCCTCCGAAACTCCGCATCTGCATTAGTCACTGGATGCGATTCCAGAAGCGCCATTTGCTCCCGCTTCTGCTGTATCTGCTGCAGCCGATTTACAGCAGCTGCCCGATCATCCATCATCATCTCGTCCATTTGAGCGATTTCGTCAGCAGCTTCGCGCATACTTAGATCGCAGTCGTCCATCTCGACACCAGCTGCCAAGATCACGTTGCCAAATGAAAAAGACGCGGCTTAATTCTGTACACCGTGCTCTATCTGCATCGCATAATCTCTTTAAATTGCTGCATCCTTTTGAATTGGTATTTTTCGTGCCGCAACCAAAAGGAAGAACAGGAACCAACGTTAGCTACATTTACAGTTATTCACCTGTGAAAAAGAAAAAGAAAAAGAAAACAAAGTGAACTCTTGATGTACTTAAGCATCCCCAGAGGACTAAAATTTCTGCTTGAGTGCCAAGACTAAGCAGGATTTGTAAAACACCATCAATCGTCTGTAACTTGCTATCCTCATATTTGAGGTTTACTAGGTCACATCTGACTAGGCACGATAGCTTCTTTGTGATCGCATATATAAGCGAACCCTCTAAGTACATCTGAAAACATTTGACAATGCTAGGGAGGGGAACAAACGAACACACCGCTCCGTGTGTTGCAATTCAGACATCAAGCTACGACGAATCGCACCGAACACAAGAAAAATGTGGAAATGCAGATGCTACCTGCAGTACGAACGATTTCGGCAATTTGTAACCCTAGTTAGAGAAAGAATACACATTCACTTTAAACAAGCAGATCGAATGAAGCGTCGAGAAAAGATCAACCCAGCTTGTAAATAAACTCAGGAACAAGGAAACGAGGTTCAAGGAAATCATAACAACACTTCTCAGTATATGCAATATTTACTAAATTCCCATAAAATACAACCATAACTAGATCTGATAGCCACTGCTATTTTTCACTATTTTGCGCCAGTCTTCGAATTTTGACGTTCAATTTATTCTCCGTAATCTCAGAATTGCAAATCGTTACAGAATCGTACTTTAAGCTGTTCTATTTTTTAAAATTATACGAGAGATTGCTTGTGATTATTTACGAATTTCTCGGTCTTAGAATTATAGATCCATGCCGTTAAATTGGACAAGTCCTCAACGGAAAGAAAAACACTAACCAAGTATACAAAGCAATTGGATAAATTTTCAACGCAGAATACACCACCACAACTAAGAATCAATTTCTGAACGAGGCAACAAAATGCACTCAGTCGCCAAAGACACAACGAACCAAGCGTAAGCTCCAATCCGACGAACAGAACCAACATCAATCGAGCCAATCAAAGTACAAAATCCAAAAACCAAATCTCCCAAAAAAGGCTGCAACAACACGCACCTTAATAAATCGTGCACTCAGAAGACGAAGACGAACTAAATTGACTAATCCGCAGCACGCACTTCTCACCACCACCGCCACTGGCTTCGGGAACTCCAACCACCAAGCTCCAGATTCACAGAGATCCAAACCTTGTTACACACGCTCTCTTAACACAGAGCTCCAGCCCGACTTCGCGAAGACCTCAAACTCCTACACCTCCTCACTCCTCTAAACCTTCACAAACCCTCAATGACAGGGAGAAAAGAAAAGAGAAAAAAAAAAAAAAAAAAAAAAAAAAAAAAAAAACGAGACGACTAAATCATCGCCAATTGAGCACTTCACCGTCCACAAACATCCGCATCACTCCACAAACCACACAACTACGACACGCTTCTCGACGGAATCATCGAGAGGCTCCAGAGAACAATATGGCCATGAGTAGGGCTGGATCCTTAAGAGCAGGCAAAACGCGAGGACGTCTCTTTGTATTGTTGGCACCACTCGCATGGATTTGCGTGGGTCTAGCCCCCGCGCAGGTGTGAAAGGGGTTCGATAATGGACCCGTTCCCACCCTCGACACCCTTGGCCCATCTCGGCGTCGTGCGGGGAGCATGAGGGTATGTTCCTCCGTCCCAGTTTAGCTTCCCGTCTCGATCCGCTTGGCCGCGTTAAGCAATGCGGCGTAATTGCAGAGCTCTTGGCCTCTACACGAGACGACGCGTGCGTGTTTGCAAGCGGGGGAAGGCCAAGCCCTATTTGAAGCCACTCGCGCTGCGCTTGTGCAGTTTATGGCAGGCTGCAATTTCGCTTCCAATATCAGTTAAGAGGTTCGTTTTTATTCATTCGGGGGTCTGTAGATGATGCGCGTTTGCAGAGATTGACTTCCTTGGCCGGGGGATTTCCTTTTTTTGTTTTTTTTTTTGTTTTTTTTTGTTTTTTTCTTGCAGACGCCACGCAGATGGTATCCGCAACTTGGAATGAGCCTCTGGTTCCGTGCTCTCTCTCTCTCTCTCGCGCTTAATTTGGCTGCGACCTTTGGCGAGATTGAAGCTCCGAGCCAGTCAACGCGAGCGGTGTTTATTATGTAATTTTCTCGACGCTGTTTTCGGGAAGTGCTGCTTTTTCCTTCTTCTTCTGTCTCCTTCTCGTCGCTAGGGTTGTTGTTACTTTGGCTTGCCATTTAAAGGCTGATTGCTTACCACTATCACAACACCTCCTTGCCTTGGCCTTCACTCCCACTAGCCATAGCTAGCTAAGCATGGACGTCGTGCTTGCAAACTTCATTTATTGGATGTTGTTAGCATTAAGAGTGTTACTATGTAACAAATGGATTTCATTGGTTTCAGATCAAGTAGTGGAGAAATGAATCTAGAGTTTTTCTTTTTCTTTTTCCCTCATGGTTAGAATGGGCGGGTCAATTTAATAAAAGCCTGGGTCTATTTAACATTCCTCTATTTTTACTATTTTTTTTGGGTACATATTTTATGAGCATATTTTTTTTATTTATTTATTTATTCACAATTATTTTAAAAAATTTAAGTATGCACATTAGAATCATGTTTTAAACTAAAATATTAAAATGATAGACTATAAAATAAATAACTTTCATACAACCAAAAGCATCAATAGAGGCAATTTAAACAAGAGCATTGAAAAGAATGTAGAACCTTTAGACAAAATGTTTAATAAAAAAGATACACAATGAACATATTATTCAACAAAACCATAAGTAGTTATATTGTACACAGTAATTTTAACATTGTACATAAAGTTTTCCGTGGAGATACCCATCCATGCTTCACTTCTCCACTACTTGATCTGAACTGTTCTATCATTTTGGGAGAAACTGCAGTGCGTGTGATATTTAAATCACTAACGTGTACACTAAATTGAGCATATCATATAAAAAGGATAATCTAAGCTGAGCTCACCACGACTAAATCGAGATCTCACACAGTGATAAGGCGCAGTCATACATTCCCTGTTAGTAGGCACCTGGCGCACCTATCTAGCTCCTCAAATCAACACCGCCGGCCAAAAACAAAAAAAAAAAAAAAAAAAAAAAAAACACACGGCCGCTACCCTGAAAAATCCTCAGGAGGACGAACTTTTCCCCTGATTGATTGGTATTTCAAATGTAGCATCCTTCCTCTAGTAAATGAACCAACGTCCTGGCAAGTTTGCATGGATCCTGTAATACACTGGTGCAGCGAACTGGCGCCCAGACATCGTGGTTACAGATATCTCTATCAGTAGCAAAATAACGTGATCGAGAGCTTGTATGACTACGAGCCTCAGCTGCTGCTGGAAACGTGCGCATGACTGTTGCCTTTGAGAGGTTAATTGGATTTGCCGCTGATTGAGAACAAAACCTGCAACTAGGAGGTTTTCCATTTGCATAACTGCCATACTTTACACTTTCCTGTCCTCGATTCACCATTTCAAGTCATAGGGTCAGATTAGCAACGGGTCCATCTGTACTCGTAAAAAGACCTTCAAAGTATCAATCGTAGTATCTCGAACGGTATGTGAATTCCATGTAACATTTTACGATTTCGACGCCATCCCGTAGACATTGAAGGGAAACCTGGTCACATCCACGTTCAACAAGTCATAGGCATTCCACTGCTCTTGCAATTTCTTCAGTCTTGTAAACCACTTCGCAACACATGTTCACTTCCAATCACGTGTTCCACACATACAGTACCAAATTCAATTAACCACCTGCCACTTTCTGCAAAAACATTTTCGCAAAATTCTAAAAACACCTACAAACGCATTTCCTCCCAGCAAATTCCTCGAGGGTTTGTAGTTGGGACGCTCATCCCTGCTCCATCATCCTCCTACTTACGCTATTACCTAGATCTACGAATACCTGACCTCATAGCCACTTATCTCGGAGAGAAGTGGAGTTCATTCTGTGCTTCTTTGTACTTACATGAGCATTGCTTAATGCTCGTTGAGTGTTTTTTTTGTATTACAGTAAAATGATAGCTTTTGTGTTATGTTCTTTTGAATTATTTCCTCATTGTATCAGAGCATTGTATCAGAGCATTGTATCAGAGCATTGTATCAGAGCAAAGGATTTTTGTGCTAACTTTGGTTGATGACTTGTACATTGTTTAATTCGGCTACTTAGAAGACCATTATTTTCTTCTTTTCTCTTCCCCTCTTACAAATTGATCAAGTATAATGAGTTCACTTGAATTTGTCTATTCCAAAGAAACAATGCTAACTGGTCATAACAACTACAAGCATTGGGTAGTTATAATATACATCATCTTTGAATGGAAAGATTTATGGGATTTAATCAAATCCATACTTTTAGCAACCTCAATAGCAACGGACACAAAGAGAGAAGAAGCTATCAACTTGTTAAAAATGGTTGCTCCACAACATCCTAGATATCTTAGATTCAAAAAAAGTGTGGAACATGCTAAGTACTATGTTCCAAATCAACATAATTTCAGATATTATGATGGTGTTAAACTAGTGGGAGTGTTTGCATATGATAGAATAATAAGATATATCAACATTCATACAACATGTGAATAACATCCTTCAAGACCTAAAATCAATAAAAAACAATAACCATCAAAAGAGTTAATAGTACATTGCCTACTCAAGCATCTGTCACAAATATACATATTTACCTTGATAATTATCTAAATAACAAGAATAGGTAGAAGTAAGTCAAAGTAGATAAATATGATAATAACTTGTGGATAGCTTCTTAGAAGCTTCATAGATAGTACTTTGCCTTTATACATGTTTATAAGTGATTGATAGGTTGAAAACTTGGCCAACAAAGATGCTATGTGTCAACATATTGACCATTTATAGTACAAGTTGGACATATGGCGCACACCTAGGAAACTTGCCTTGCAAATTAGACATGTATCCTATAAGTTGGACGCGTATTAGAGGTCCTGTAACATGTCGCCACATAACTCTTAATTAAGTAGTATATATAGAGGCAAGAATGAAGCCTTCTTCACTCTTGTCAACTCTTTTTTTGCTTTTAGTCTAGTTTCAAGAGTCTAATATTTTCTAATCTTTGTCAATAGCCATTCCAATTCTTCCTTACATATACATACTTTCTTCTATTTTTTCACTTTTCTTTTGATACAGATTCCACGAATTTATGTATCTTTTTTTAATTTGTATTCTTGACAGATTGACAAGAGTACACATATAATATCAGAGCTTTGTCCTTTCTTAATTAAGAGTGGATTATCCCTTTCTCTTGATAAGACATAAGTATATTAGAAGTTGTGGATTATCTTCTTCTAAACTGATATTGTTTCTAGATTTTTTTTTTTCTTGATTCTTAAATATTGTATTTTGTGAGAATAGACACCTTTCTTTTTATTGTGTTAGTATGGCACAGCTTGCTGAAATGAAGAGTGCAATGGCTCAAATGTAATAGCAAATGAAAGAATTAATGCTTGCAATGCATCAACTCATTCTATCACCACAAAGAATAATAAGATTATCAAACAATGAAGATATAGAGATGATTGGAGTTGCTTCAACATCTATACCAAGCTATACTGTTGCTCTTACTAAAGAACATTGTTCAAGTTTCAAGGAACCAAAAATTAGATTATTTGAGAAGTTTGATGGCACAAGATCCAAATTTCAAAGATTCATCAATCAGGTACAACTGGTGATTGAACTACAACCTCAAAGTTATCCAACTTAAGGATCAAAAGTCAGGTTTATTGAAAGACTACTTTCAAGTTCTACTTTATCATAGTTTTCATTATTTCTTGAATAACGTGATCGAATATTAGATAATTTGGAAGCATTTTTAGCAGAGTTTCAATCTATATATGGAGAACATGATGCAATCCATATTGCAACCAACAAGATTCGTATCTTATGACAAAATAATTGATTAGTGATATTATAAGATTCACAATTTTGAGAATTAATAACAGATATCAAGTGGGATGATGCAACACTCATCAACCAATTTCTCTATAAATTATAATATAAAAAAAAGAAATTGATGCTTAATTTATTTGATCCTTAGACATTGAGTCAAACAATTGATTTTATTATAAAATGTGATAATCGAATTTTTGAGCTTTGATCTAAAAATCGCACAAGAAAACCTCAACGTTATTACAATTTAATGACATTAGCAATGACTTCTCAATTTAAACATTTGGAAGTAGAGGATATGCAAATTAATACAGTACGTTTTAAACTTCTTACCAAACAAGAAAAAACTTGTTGTCGTCAAGAAGGACTATGTTTATATTATGGAGAAGCTAAGTATACTACTCAATATTATTCAAAGAAATGACGCAACTACAAAATGAAGAGTAGTGCTGTCAAAGATGAAAACATGTCAAAAAATGAATTTGTCCAATTACAATAAGAACTGTGTGGCTGGAATCTTATACAATTCCTAATAAAAGTCATATTCTTTCCTCAAAATCCTCTCCTTGTTTTATAATAGATGTGCATTTAAGATCTAATAATTACAAAACCTCTGTCTTAATAGTTTCAAGAGCCTCAAGTTATTTTTTAGATGAAGAATTTATTAAAATTCATAATATACAGTTAATACAAAAAACTAAATCCGTACAC